CCCCCCCCCCCCCCCTCTTGGGCCCCACATTTCATGGAATGAATGCCACGAAAGCTTACCTTTATTATTATTTTTATGGGAATCAAATTGGATGCTTCGACGCACCGTTTTGATTGTGGCACGGCTTTTGAGCGGCTGGATGTATATTAAATTAATATCATCTCATGACACGTGTGCCTCTCCTTCAAATGGTAGTATCTATTAAAGGTGAGGGTTTAATTTAAAATATTTTGAAACTTATATATATAATTTAATGGACTAAATAATTATAAAAACAAGTATCCATATAGACCTCTCTAATAATTGGAGGCTCAAATAATTGCATAATGCATCCTGTTCTCTTTTCTCTTTCTTCTTTTCTGTGTTAAAAAAGGTGTTTTTATTTTTTGGTTCATGATTATGCATTTTCAGTGAATACAAAGCCTAACCACTTTCTACTATCCTTGCTTCCTCTTCTTCCTCCCCTTCATAATTGTGTTTTTTTGTTTCTTTTCCTTTATGCTTTGGCTTTTTGTTTCTGGTTCGTTTTTACCCATTTTTTATTCCACGTACTTAATACATCGTGTTATAATTTATAAATTTGTGATTCATAGATGTCAGAGTCACATACCTTAAACTTAGTCGTAACAATAGAATCCTCAAATATCGAATAAAGAATTGTGAATCTCGAAGGCATAGTTAAAAGTGACTAAAGTGTCGAACAAAGTGTATACTTTGTTCGAGGGCTCTAGAGAAAAGAGTTGAACCTCAATTAAAGGGAGACCCTTAAAGTTTAGTGTACTATGTTCAAGAAGAGGATTGTTGAGGATAATTATGGGTTTATAAGTAAGGAATACTATCTCCACGGGTATGAGACCTTTTATGGAAACTTAAAACAAAGTCGCGATAGCTTCCGAATAGATTTGTAATTCCTAACATTAACTTATTTTTACAAGTACTGAGTCTTAAATTTTAATTTAGAGATGAAAAATAAACACAATTATTAATTTTTATTGTTAAATAGAGAGCGAGAAAAAAAGTTGGCCAAGAAAAGAAAAACTGAGTAACCCGAATTTGGGTGAGACAGTCGGTGGTAGCTCTGAGTCGAAGCCGAAAACCAATCTGATCCGAAACTTCTTACCAATTTGGAGTCTCTAGCTCTGCTGAAAACAAGGAGATTGACCCCTTTACATTTTCCCATCACCCAGTTCCTTCGAAACTATAAGTATGCATCCAAGGTGTTTGAATAAATGCTTCACCGACTCTCACACTTTGAATACTCTTCTTCACTTCCCTGTAACATTTTCTCAAGCCAAATGGGGAGGATGCCATATTTGGCTCTCAATAGTGATCCGCTGATTGATGAGATTTTAAATTCTGATTTCAATGAGCTTAAAATTGCAGCCACCAGGCTTATTCATCATACCGCCAAGCTCGGTGGAAAGGGCCTTGGGACTTCTTTTTTCAAATGGCTTGCCTCTTTTGCTGCCATGTGAGTGCTTTCTAATGCAATGGAGCCCAAAAAATGGGTCCCTTTTGGATTATTTATGGACTCTGCTTGTTCTTGGTTCTAAATTTCATGTTTTTTTTTTTATTACATCACTGTGCAGTTACTTGTTGATTTTGGACCGCACAAACTGGAGAACAAACATGCTTACTTCGCTTCTTGTCCCTTACATTTTCTTCAGTCTTCCTGAAGGAATTTTCGACTTAGTGAGGTGACAGTCACGCTCGTTTCTTCTTATTTTTATTGCTTTAGCCAATGGCTTTCAAATGTTAACGATATCGTTTTCTTCTTGATTTTGTTAAGAGGGGATGCAGGGAAATGGATTGCCTTCGTTGCAGTGGTATTGAGGCTCTTCTTCCCACGACATTTCCCAGGTAATAAGCATGGTGTCCTCTGTTTAGTTTTCCACAACATATTGTTCAGTAACCTGATGTTTTGTATGATAAAGCATTGCTTTTGGATTTGTGACATCCCGATGGAGAGGGGAACAAAGCCTTCCTTACAAGGGTGTGGAAACTTCTTCACTCTATTAAAACTTTAGGGGAAGCCCAACACAGAAAGTCAAAAAATAACAATATCTAACAATATCTTATAGCGGTGAGCTTGGTGTGCCAGCAAGGACGATTGCCCTTAGGAAGTGAATTGTGAGATCTCATATGGTCGGTGTGCCAGCAAGGACGAAGGCCCCTAAGGGGTGAATTGTGAGATCCCATATTTGTTGGAGAGGGGAACAAAGTATTACTTATAAGAGTGTAAAAACCTCTCCAAACAGACACGTTTTAAAACTTTGAGTGGAAACTAGAAGAGAGTCAAAAGAGGATAATATCTCTTGGGCTCGAGCGGAGAGTCAGACATCGGGTGGTATGCCAGCGAGCACGTTGTGCCCCTAAGGTGGGTGGATTGTGAGATCCTGAGTTGGAGAAGGGAACAAAGCATTTATTACAAAGGTGTAGAAATCTCTCTAACATATGACTAATTTTAAAACTGAGTGAAGCCTGAATCATATCCCCTAGCAGGATCCTTGAATAATTTAACTTTGAGTGAAACCTTGTATGATGCATTGAATAAGTTAACTACAAAAAGGCATTCATTCGTTCCTCATCACTGTTAGATTCAAACTTGTAATCGTTGATGTTGAACTCATGGTTAAGAGTAGTGGAAGTGAGATGGTAAAAGCTGAAAACATTGAGAGAGCATGTTGATGTGCAGATTGGCTAGAGATTCCAGGGTCGTTGATTCTGCTTCTGGTGGCAGCACCAGGGTTCTTTGTACACTCATTGAGAGACCACTTGGCTGGCGTCGTGATATGTTTGATCATTGGATGTTACCTTCTGCAAGAGCACATTCGCGCATCAGGTGGCTTCAGAAACTCTCTTACTCAAAGCCATGGCATTTCCAACACCCTCGGCATCGTCCTCCTCCTTGTCTTCCCTGTTTGGGCCATGCTTGCTCGCTTCTTCTAGCTCTAAATCCCACACATTTGCTTCTCACTTCTTCATCAACCAAAAATTTTGTAACTTCTTTCACTTTTTTTGCTTCCTTTCTTCTTACCCTCTTTATATATTTTCCAAATAGTTCATCCATTTGTATGTTCACAACGTATGTTGTAACAATCAAGTGTCTCATAAATTTTTCATTGGGAGATCTCAATCTACAAATCTATTATCTCACGTAGATTGCTGAGAAATACCAGTATCAACAAAGACCCAAAGAGTACCAATGTCAACAAGGACCCAAAGAGTACCAGAGTACCAATGTCAACAAGGACCCAAAGAGTACCAGTGTCAACAAAGACCCAAAGAGTACCAGTAATAAGTGGATTGTGTGAGATTGTGAAATATTATAGCCGTGTAACTGTTATGGTAAAAAAATACATTTTTTTTAATATTATTATTGAAATTTTACTGAATAAACTTATAATTTAACCTTAGTAAAAACAGTCCTCTTATAACCCTTAATCAAACACTTGTGGTATATTCCTCTCGAAGCTTATTGAGAGTGGATCCCGCATTAGTTAATTTAAGAATGATTATAGATTTATAAGTAAAGAAATACATCTGTATTGGTACTAAGGGGACTTTTGGTGCTCAATAAATTTGTTTATGTCTCCGACCCAAAATTGAATTAAAATTTGATGATTCAAATACAAATTCCAAATGTTTATGAAATAAAAAAAATTAAAAAAACAAACAAACAAAATAAAGTAAAATTATTATTAAAGAAAAAAAAGATGTTATAGGTATATCCTAGTAACGAATGAGGTGTAGCCACGTGGAAAAAATAAAGCCAATAGTTGAGCATGCAATCACCCAATAAGATTTTTTCTTATCCAATTCTTTATCCTTCTCTAACCTAAGCCACGAAATCATCATCTCTCCTCTCACTTTCATAACCCCTCCCTACTGGTCGTTATAGTTTCAGTACCAGTCGCCGGAGCACATTTCATTCTACACTCCGACACTGAGACTGAGACAGAACAATGGCGGCCTCAGTACACGCCGCGGCTACGCTTATCCAGCCTTCTAAGTTGGCCGTCTCCGCAAGGACCGCCAACTCCCAACTCAGATCTTCTCAGAGCGTTTCTAAAGCTTTTGGCGTTGAATCTGCCGGAGCTAGACTCACCTGCTCTCTCCACTCCGATCTCAAAGACGTTGCTCGTAAGTTCTCCGATGCCGCCAAGATCGCTGGCTTCGCTCTTGCCACTTCCGCTCTTGTCGTTTCGGTATGCCCTTTCTTTGCTTGTGGAGATTTTGTTTGTTATGATTCTCGATGCTTTCAATTTCAGCATCCTTTCTGTCCAGAGTACGTTAATTTACCTGCTGCGTCTAGTTGCTTAGATTGATAATTTCTTTCAGTTATTGTATTTTGGGAGTTGAGTTCTATCTGATTACCTCGAATTAGGTAAATGACAATTTCGTACCGAAGAAAGGATGAGAATCCTTGATCCACATTTTAAAGCTTGGAAACTTCATGAGCCTTTGAAGTAAAAAAAATGAATCTAAAATTTTAAGGACGTATTAGTAAAGGATTAATAGGAATTTTTTAATGCAGAGTGTCCAATTAATACAATGCTCCAGCGTTAGTGAAATGAAAATAAGAGAAGATCAAACATAATGCATCAAGAATGACCCGACTGACACTTGATCGATGATAAATTGATAATCATCTGAACTATTTGATGCATTTTCCTGTATTTCCAGGGAGCCGGTGCGGAAGGAGTACCAAAGAGACTCACCTTTGATGAAATCCAGAGCAAGACATACCTTGAAGTAAAGGGAACTGGAACAGCAAACCAGTGCCCAACCATTGATGGAGGAGTTGATTCATTTGCCTTCAAATCTGGCAAATACCAAGCCAAAAAGTTCTGTCTGGAGCCCACTTCTTTCACTGTCAAGGCAGAGGGAGTGAACAAGAACTCCCCACCAGAATTCCAAAACACCAAGCTCATGACTCGCCTAACTTACACCCTAGACGAGATTGAAGGACCCTTTGAAGTGAGTGATGATGGTTCCATCAAGTTTGAGGAGAAGGATGGAATTGACTATGCTGCTGTCACTGTTCAGCTGCCTGGAGGCGAGCGTGTTCCTTTCCTCTTCACCATCAAACAGTTGGTGGCCTCTGGAAAGCCAGATAGCTTTGGAGGAGACTTCTTGGTGCCATCATACCGTGGCTCCTCCTTCTTGGACCCAAAGGGAAGAGGAGGTTCGACTGGTTATGACAATGCGGTGGCATTGCCGGCTGGTGGAAGAGGTGATGAAGAAGAACTTGCTAAAGAAAACAACAAGAATGCTTCATCTTCAATAGGGAAAATCACTTTGAGTGTGACCAAGAGCAGGCCTGAGACTGGTGAAGTTATTGGTGTGTTTGAGAGCGTTCAGCCATCTGATACTGATTTGGGAGCAAAAGCTCCAAAGGATGTGAAGATCCAGGGTGTCTGGTACGCTCAGCTTGAATCTTAGACCCCTTTCTTTCTTTGTTTTATGATTTGCATATAGTGTCGTTGTCAGTTTATTAAGAGAGTTGCTAAACTTTCTTCGAGAGAAACGCTAGAAGGGGTTCTATTTTATTCCAGTTTGCATATAAAATCTTTGTGCCTTTCATTCACTCTTCACATTCGAGATTAGAGCGTTTTAATTAGTCGAGTTATGCCCTATTATAACTCTTTTAGACTTTAAAATAATAAAATAGATAATATAGAATTTGTGAGAACCCACATTGGTTAGAGGAGGAACTATGCGGCTGACCTCTAAGAGGATGGATTGTGAGATCTCACGAGAACGAAACATTCTTTATAAGAGTGTAGGAACTTCACGGTGCATTCTTTATAAGGGTGTAGGAACTTCTCCCCTACCAAAAGCGTTTTAAAATTTTAAAACTTGTGGAAAAGGAAAGTTTCAATAGCTTTCAATATTAAAAATAAAAATTAATTAATTTAAATTTATTTCTTAAGCTTTAATATTTTGTTTGCTTAATAAGTTTTTGAACTGATATTTAATATTTTTAAATTTTAATTTTGTATTTAATAAATATTTATTTATTTTTATTACGTTTAGTTTTTAAAAAAAATTATAAATCTAGTAAATATAAAATTAGGTGACAAATGTAACTTTCTAATATATCAGTTAATTTTTTAATAATTTTAAATTTTGTAATTTATAATTTATTACATATTTTAAGCTTAATAAATTTAAAATTTCAAGTTGAATTAATTATATAATAAAGTGGAAATAAAATTTGATAAAATAATTTTGGTTTGACGGTTTTATTTTTTCTTTAAAGAAAATAATTGTATCGTTCCACAAATAAATAAATGAAGACGTTTCGATAAACTCGTCTTTAGTGAGCAAAGATTCCAACGTTCATACAGTGAATGTCCAATTATATAAAACTAAATCACAAATTGCAAATTTTCCAATTAAAACTACATGTCCAAAATCATCTGAATTTTCTTGGGAAATCAGAAAGCCAGCCAATCTCGTTGAACACGATCGCGGTGCGGCAGCGTAGCAATTAAATCCCCTTTCCGATCTTTCATTTTCCGGGAATCCATTTTCTTTTCCATCCAAACAAAATCGAACAAACGCAACAAACCCTATTCCATTCTCCAGATTTCGAGGTCTCCAGAGCCAAATTCAAAGTTCCCCCCATTTCCGAGCGATGAATCTATGATGGAGGCGAGTGGTTTCGGCGTAGAAAAGTTGCAGAGGGAAAATGGAAGAGCTGCCGGGGGCATTGGGCACAAGCCCAAGCTTGGTCCTCCGTTTGGGGCAGGCGATTTTTGCCTCGGCTTCCCTCTTCTTCATGTGTCTCGAAATCGAGTTCTACAGCTACACGGCTTTCTGGTAATCATATTCTTTTAACCCCTGTTTTCTTCAGTTCCTTACTTCTCCAATTAGGTTTTTTTTGTCCTGGTTTTCTGATCATGGTTGGATTAATACATCATGTTTTGTAAGTAGCAACTTGTGTTAGTTTCGTGGCCTAAGTTCAATTCCAATCCATGCATTTTGTATATTAGTATATCAAATGTTTGATTACTGCCTATAGGAATTGATTAAGAACCACCTAACTTTAACAGGATATGTTCTATAGGTACTACTGTGTTCTTGAGTTCATTAGGAATTGATTAATGGATTGTAGAAAAACTGTGTTCTTTCGAAAAGTTGTAAGTTTAGATAATTTTGATGAAGCCATGGTAACCACCCATTTAAGGAAAGGAATGGTATAGGAGCTTCTTTGTACCGAATGAGTTGTTTAATAGGATTAGTCAAAGGGCATGTAAAAATTTGATTGTTAATGCCAACCCGAGCATACACGCTCCCACGTTCGCTTCTTTGCCCATTTTTATCGAAGAAAGTGGAAGTTAGAGGTTGAATTTTGTTTGAAGTTAAGGTTCATGAACTATCCACTAATCCAATGGCCTGTTAACTTGAAGTTGAAAGTGATTTTTAGTAAAAATCAGACTTAAAATTTTGTAACATTTGTCATCGTTTTTTTTATGTAATTTCTACCATGGCAAGGTGGAAATCAAAGCATCATCCTTCAGGGTTGTAAAAGGTACTTCATCTATTAAACTATGCTCGGATTGAAACATTTCTTTCCGTTGTTATTTCAAGGAAGATGAATCGTATTTCAACAAGAATTAGCTGATCCGGGTTGTGCTAATATACTAATGGAATCATTTCAAACTAGTTTACAAATTACAGAGCGGAAGCCTAAAATGACTGTTTGTTGGGAATTCAAATGTTTGGTAGCTCTGGATGTCTAGTTTTGGAACTGTTTATACGATGAACTTTCTATTTTCTAAACAAAAAGTTGTCTGATCACACCAAGTTTTCTAGTACAGAGTGATTAGCATTGTCCAGTATTTTAGTAATCAGTTGTAAGGTGAAAAATTCTTATCAAAATGATGTAAGGGCACATAGGAAGAACTAGAAGGATACTTGTTTGATGTTCTTCTCCAAAACATTGGGCCATTTGTTTTTTTGTTGGCATGCTTATGTTCTAGCTGCAGCTATTTCGACACAAGGATAACGACATCGAGTTTAATATGTTTGGAGTCAGACTGATGATGTTAACGATGAAGATTTCTGTTATTTCGACATCGAGTTTAATGATCTTAGAACAACTTCTGATAGATGTTCTTCCAGGAGGGCATAAATTATGAGAACTTGAGCTAATTTTCTGCTCTTTTTCCTGCAAAAGATATGAAGATCCAAAATCTCAAGAAAACTTTATGATTGCTCATGTTAATTCCCCCAGCTATCTAGTGACAATCATGGGCTTGATGGTTCCTTGGAGTCTGACATTGGCAGTAGTGGACGGATATTCGGTTTTTGTTAGGCATTTACCTCCTCAGGCGAGAGTAACGGCGATCATCGTCGCCGGAGACTGGGTACGAAAGAAATACCCTCTAGGAAATGATCATATATTAACATCTTTGTGTCTTTGCAGTCTAGGTTGAAAAATGAATGAAAACAATTTACATTTGCTGTGTAATATAGGTTCTATCATTTCTCGCCTTGGCCGCTTCCTGCTCGACAGCCAGTGTCGCCGACGTGTTGCTCAAAGTCGGGGTGCCGTATTGTTCGGCAAAGCTTTGCAGTAGATATAGACTTTCAGCAGCAATGGCTTTCTTGTCATGGTTTCTTTCTCTGGTTTCTGCCCTCTTCAATCTCTGGCTTCTTCCTTCTTTGTAAAGTTGATCATTATGTTCATGTCGTTTCTGGAAAACTGTACATGTCAAAAAAAAAAAAAAAAAAAAATCTTGTTTACTCAGTGTATACATTTTTCCAATCCCTGAGAATTGGATTGGATAACTGTAAAAAAATGAGTCAATAATTAACAGTGTTATGCTGAACACATTTGTTCGAACTTCATAGACCTAAAGTATATTCGGCCCCATAAAAATATTTGTTTTCATATACGTATAAATATCGTTATCCTCTATTTAATTTCCACTAATTCAACCATTAATTTTTTATAAAAAAAAACTTCAGAAATAACAGCTCAAACTCATCATTAGTTGTTCATTTGTGTTTCCTCCCTCAAAGTTTTAAAATTGTCTAATTGGAGGTTCTATTTTATTATAAACTTATTTTATTTTTTCTTTGTTACTATAAATTCTGTTTTATTGGCATTTAAAAAAATAAATAAAGAGAAAATTAAAAAATAAAGAGGGTGAAAAAAAAAATCAATTTATAGAGAGAAAAATGGAAGACAATCGCAATTATACTAATTTGGCATTCATTTGGTGGATTTCAGATTCAAATTATCCACTTTCATCAAATGCTTAAATAGCACGTGGAAAATATGAGAATTATGATTTTTAAAAAATGAATTAATTTAAATTTCAAATTTTAAATGATGAAGTACAGATTAACTTAATTTAATTCTCTATATAAAATTGAGATATCAAGACAAGACATTTTTAAAAAGCTGAAAGATTTTCTATTATTATTAAAAAAAGACAAATTATTCATCACTAATTAATTATTAGGGGACAAAATCTTATACAAAATTAATTATAAGTGCCACAATTAATATCCAAAGGAGAAGAAAAAAACATAATAATTATCAAATACTTAAAAAAAAAAACTGATTAATATAAGGGAGAGCATGTGGAAATTAAATAATTGATTAGATTAAATTAAATTAAAATGAAAAAAAAAAGACAAAAAAGTGATGAAAATGGGACAGTGGTGTCCTTAAGGTTGTTGATTGAATTCCATAATGTGTGGGAATGTCTTTAATTATCTGGTACTTTGTATTCGTCTCTGACGGTGGAGCTGCCCTTTTGTGGGACACCCTGCCCCTTAATTCAAAAATAATATAATTAAATAAATACTTTTTATTATTTATTATATAAAGGGTAATCCCCAACTTTATAATTGCTCATTAATAAATTATGTATCTATGGATAGTTCATGGATTTTATAGTGTTACAATTCCTTTTTTCATTTAGACTCCTATTTATTAATTAATTAATAATTCCTACTTTTTAACTAATATTTATTTATAATCAAATAAAGCCAATGAATAATTGACCTTTTAATTTTAAACAAAGGGTGTGCTTCAAAATTAAGCTTTTTACTAGTATTTCCATTTATTTATTATTGTTGTTGTTTTTTTTGTTGGTGGGGTCAAAAATTTGGTACAAAATTAAATAAAAATAATAATTTTGTAATGTATAATGGTGGGTTTGATGTATCTCATTATTGAGTGGGATCTAAGATTTCGATGAGGGAAGACTTTAACAGAAGCTTCTAGGAAGGCCTTTTTCCATTAATTACAAATGGTGTTGATGATAGGCTTCTAAAGAGGTAGATTGTGAGATTCCACATTGATTGGAGAGAGAAACGAAACAACTATGGTAAAGAACTCCCCATATATTTTTTTAATTAAATGTATTACAAAAATTTATTAATAATGTTAAAAAAAACTTTTGAGGACCAAAATTAAGTAAAATGGAGGTTGTAAAAAGTAATATTAAAAAAAAGGAAATGTGGGCGGTGGGCTGAGCAAGTTGGCGTTCGGCCCAGCAAAACCAGATAAGGTTGCGCCATCCTTTGTCTCGGTGCTGGTTTGCTTTTGTGAATTCCGAGGCA